GGTTCGATCCCTGACGTGCTATGCTGCCCCACCCCCAGGGTGCCCTGAGACAGCAAGGTGGCACATGCCTGTAATCCCAGTGCTTGGAAGACTGAAAACAGGAGGATTACTATGAGTCCGATCTATGCAGTGAGACCCTGGAAACCGTGTGCTAAAATTACAAAAATACAAAAAAAAAAAAAGCATCACTAAAGATTTAGAACACGGTGTCATTAACATGACTCATTTAATAGGCCCATAGAGAATCCAGCAGGGGTTCTTAACGATGAGAGAATACAAAACAACCCATGAAAATGAAGTTTAAATATATTTCAAAAAGTGTTATCACAGAAAATGCGCTGTCAGATCGTGGTGCAGTCATGTTAGCTTTCCGTCACTGTAAGAAATAGCTGAGATGATCAACTTACAAAGAGCAAAGGTTTACTTTCGCCCAGAATTTAGAGGTGCCCAGAACTTGGTCAACCCCTTTTTCTCTTTGGATCTGGAGCACGTGTGTCATAGCCAGGCAACGCTGGTCACCTCAGGGCTGGGAAAGAGAAAGGGTCCAGGATTCTGTGATTGTCTCCTAAGCTTGGCCTCAGTGACATTCAGACTTCCCCATGAACGTGCCCCCCACTTCTGAATGCCCCTACCGTCCCCCCAGGGCGTCTCTGGGGACCAGATGTTAGTGCATGGTCTTTGCAGGACCACTAAGATCCAAACCAAAGCAACAGTTTTTAATCAGTAACTGAAGGGTAAGTTAGAAAATTAGTTTCCTGGGAAATTGCAGAAAATGTGATTTTTAAATAAATTAATGGTTTAAAACAGATCATACTGAGTTTTAGCTTGAACTGACACACCGTGAACATGCTGTGCATGAAAGTGGGTCGGCACCACAGGAGCCAACTTAAGGATACCTGGATCCTTTCAATGACATGTAAATGAAGGGTTGACAAAGGAAGAATGAAGAGAAAGAATAAAGAATTTTTATAACACTTGGAATGAAAAGGGACATAAGTAACTGCAGATAGGGCCCTCCAAATAGCTCAGTGGATTAAAGCACCAACATGCAGGTGCAGGGGCTGGGGATTGGATCCCTGGACCTGCCGTGCCAGCCCCACCCCTGGGGCATCCTGAGGAGGCAATTGAGACTGAGCCTGGTGGCCCACGACTGTAATCTCAGCTCTTGGGAGGTAATCTCAGCTCTTGGGAGGCTGTAAACAGGCAGATCACTATGAGTCCGATCTAGTAGTGAGACCCTGAACACCCTGTAGACCCTTCCCTAAAATACAAAAAAAAAAGTAATTGCAGATAAAATAGGGATTAAAATAACAACATCATGACCATCTTTTGCCAAGATGTAGGGAAACTGAGAAGTTTTTAAGCAAACAGAACACAACTGCCATGGAAAGAAATGGGAAACCTGGCTGATCCAATAACCATTTTTAAATAATTGAATTGGAGTTAGAAATCTCTACATAGCTGGGCATGGTGGCACAGGTCTGTAATCTCAGCATTTAGGAGACTGAGGCAGGAGGATCAATGTGAGTTCAAGGCCAGCCTGCATTGATAGTGAGACCCTGTCTCTAAGAAAATATTTACACAAAGAAAGCATAGGCCCAGGGGTGGGTGGTAGACTTACGAGACATTTCTGATCTGAAACCCTTCAAAAATACAAAAGCTAAAAAAATTTCCTACTCATCCTGTGACACAAGAGTTACTGTCACCTTGATTGGCCAACAGTGGTACAAGAATGTGGAATTTCAGGCCAGTTTTCCTCAGAAATACTGAGGTTGGATTACTGAATCAGCACAAGGGAACTGAACTCTTGACAGTTCATAAAAGAAAACAAGTAGATCAAGCCGGATGAGTCCTAGGGTAGGGTAGGGTAGGGTAGCATTAAGGGTCAGGACTTGGAACTTACCCCACGAATAGGCTGAAATGAAAAGATGACTGGCTTTCGTAGGGAGAGACAAAGCTTTTGGTTAAATCATATAAGCATTCATGACTTAAGAAATAGAAGGACAAAGTTCTGGGCTGGAGAGATAGCTAAGCCTGCCTGGCAAGCAGTAGGTCCTAGTTTGATCCCTCGTACCAAAAAAGAAAAGCTAGAGTTACAACTATAAGGAAATAGAAATTTAAATTTATTTTTATTATTTTTTATGTACTTACTACAGGATCTACAGGGTCTCACTACACAGATCAGACTCAGAGTGATCCTCCTATTTTCAGCCTCCCAAGCCCTGGGATTACAGGCGCACACTACCACACCCAGTTTTAGAAGTTTAAATTTAAACAAAGCCATCAACAGCTATTAGTTGGTCAAGACATGAGCTTGTGGCACTCTTGTATTGCTGACGGTAATACAAATTGTTAGGAAGACTGGAAAATAGCAGTAAGATAAAGGTGACAAATCTTGCCACTGAATAAAATAACCATTGCAGCAATTTTTGTAATGGCACCAGCACGCCCATCACAACCTAAAAACCCTTTGGCAAAGAATGGCTGACTTGCGTTCCTCTGCATGGGGAGATGTTGCTCAGCCGTGATTTTAATCTTGGCGCTATGCAAGCACAGGCGAATCTTAACCAAAGTGTTGAACAGGAAGCAAGTCGCAGTCTGGGCATAATCCCATTTTCAGACACAACAGGAAAAAGCACAGCTGAAGAGCTTGTTGTTTACTGACATACACAAAATACTGAGAGCCTGCTTTTCCACACCTCTATCCATTTGGCTCCCCAAAATTTGAGAATATAGATGTTGATGATAAGTTAAACATGCAAACATCTAAAGTTTTCCCTCAGAAAATGATACCACAGAAAAGCAACCCGGGAAACGGCCAACCTGGCACTGAGGGGTCAGTGCCCTTTGAAGAGAGGGTGAGCGGAAGGGGTGGACGGCAGCTTGGAGGTGCCAGCGTTTCTAGCTGCCTCTCTGGGCATATATTCCAGCACATACATGCCTTATGTCTTGTGTGTGGGGAGCCTATTGCATCATAAAACAAAACTGCTGCAAAGATCTCCCTGGGTAGCTGTCAGCTCTTGAAAGACTCCGCTGTGGACTGGGCTTCCATGAGACCATTCTTCCGTTTGTTCTTACGGAAGGCGGTTCAAGGGAGAAGCACAGCTGGCTTGGGGGTTGTGGGGTGGCTGTCCCTGGATAGTGTAGGTTGGTGTCATCTTTAATTGTCATCTTTTACATTTCTAGGATGAATCTGAGTTTAGAGACAAGCTCACCCCAATTACTGTTTTCATGGAGTATCGGCTGGATTACCGGACGGCAGCGGATGCCACAGGGCTGCAGCCCATCCTCAACCAGTTCACGCCTGCCAACGTCAGCCGCCAGGTAGGCAGGCGGCCTGGCCCCGCCACCGCATGGGGCTGCCCCTCAGGCTGGGAGAGTGTGGCCGGAGAAGTCACAGGGGAAGGATTCCGAGATTTGAAGTCAGAGATATTTAAACCCATTTAGAACTTAATTCAGAGAAGGACAAGGACATATTTCAGATGTGTACAATAATGCAAGTAAAAATACCAGCTTATTTACACAGTGTTTTAAATGTATTTTGCTGATCACTATCTCTGATACTTCTGTTTCCTTCATTCTTTCTTTCTTTTTTGGTCTTTTTTTTGAAATGGGGTCTTGTTACGCAGTTTAGGCAGGCCTTGAGCTCACTTAGCAGCCCAAGGTGGTCTTGAACTCGAAGTCATCCTCCTGCCTCAACCTCCTGAGTGCTAGGATTACAGGCGTGTGCCGCCACACCCAGCATGTTCTTTTTTTTCTCCTTTTTTGTGTGCTTTGAGAGGTAGGTACCCCGGCTAGCCTCGAACTCATGGCTGGCCCGTGTCAGCTTCCTGAATACTAATATTGGTGTTATCTTTGGTTTACATTTTTGACTCTGTTTAAAAACAGTGGAATGTTTTCACATACATTGTAAAGTACATAAACAGCTCTTTTCAGCTGTGTTTCATGGCATACACTTATAATTCCAGCACTGGAGACTTTATTTTTTATTTTAAAGAGGAAAAAAATATGTTAGGTCACGTAAATAAAAAAGGGCTGGGGATATAGCTTAGTAGAAAAACTCTGGGATCAACCTCCAGCCCAAAAACCAAACAACAGTAACCAAAAACTAATACAAAACAACAATCTATATTTAAGTATTTATATTTTCTGTTCCTTTATTTTATTATTTCATGTTCATATTTTTATTATTTTTTGTATTTTAGGGAAGGGTCTACAGGGTGTTTAGGGTCTTACTACTAGATTGGACTCATAGTGATCTGCCTGTTTTCAGCCTCCCAAGTGCTGGGATTACAGGTGCATGCCTCCATTCCCAGACTCAATTGTTGTGTCAGCACGCCCCCGGGGCAGGGTCAGCACAGTGGGGACTGAACCCCAGTCCCTGCTCCTGCTCTGCAGGCACTTTAGTCCACTGAGCTATCTGGCCTGAGTGCCTCTTGGTTTTTTTTTTTTGTTGTTGTTGTTGTTGTTTGTTTTGCTTTTGCAGTAAGAATTCACCAGGGCTTCTGTTACTCTAGGCAAGGGCGCTGTCAGTGAGGAATATTCCCAGCTTTTGTTTTTTTCTACTTTGAGTCATGGTATCAAGTCGCCGGGGCTGGTCTCAGCCTCAGCCTACTTTGTCTTCCTTTCTAAAGGACCTCTTGAGATGCTTGTTTTAGATGGGGGGATATAGAGTTGGGGGCGATGGGGTAAATTTGAGAAGACCGTATGTATGATAGCAGCATGAGTCAAGCTAACCTATTTTTGAAAAATAATTTTTCTGTTTTAACAATTCATTTTTGTGTTCCACTTTACACTGTAGTCATCCCAACATATTTGTGACTTTCTACTACGCTTTAGGAAAGAACTTGTAAACACACTTGTGTGTCCACATTTCTTAATTTTTGTGGGTGTCCAGTGACCTTGATAAATAATAATGAATTTCTGAATCTTGGTGTTTGTTTTTCAATATTATGTTTCCATAAAGATTAATTTTACTTTTCACTGCATTCTGTTCGTTTCAACAGAGAAATCATGAACCTTAAGACCTCTTTTGGGGCTGGTGAGATGGCTCAGTGGTCTAAAGCGCCTACTTAGAACAAGCTAAACTAAGCAAAGCACAGGGACCAAGGTTCAATCCCCAGCACCACATGCCAGCCAGCCCCGCCCCCTGGTGGGCTGAGCTGGCCACACACACACGAAATAAATAAACAAACAAATAAAATAAATGTTAAAAAAAAAAAAAAGACCTCTTTTCTTCTGCATTTCAGCTTTGTTACTGATTTCTGTGATAATCCCTGCCCCATCGTTTTTGTCATTTATTCCTAAATAGGTCCTTCATTTCCATAGTCATATTACAGGTGCTCCTGTTGCAGTCTTGCTGCAGATTACTGATGCCCAACAGAAAGACAGTGTACTGAAAGTCTCATTTAGGGGCTGGGGAGATGGCTCAGTGGAATAAGCACTTCCCTGGCAAGCGCAAGGGCCTGAGTTCAATCCCCAGTTCTGCCAAAAAAAAAAAAAAAAGAAAGCCTCATTTAGAACTTTAAGTTTGATGGTTAGTGACCTTTTTTCAGGTAGAGAGAAAACAGGTGAAGTTAATTTTAAGAAGTTATCTGCATTAGTTTGCTGGGGCTGTCTTAACCAAGTTCCACAGATCACATAACGGGAATTGCTTTTTCTCCTCCTGCTGAGGCCTGAAGTGAACAGTCAGGCTGCGACCAGGTTGGTTTCTCTGAGGCCTCTGTCCTGGGCTGGCGGGGGCTCGCCTTGTGTGTTCACAGGGTCCTTCCGCCTGTGTGTCTCTCGATTCCTGTCCTACAGAGCGCAGGTCAGCCATACTGGGGGAAGGCCAGGCTTGGCGTCACTTCAGTCGGCTCTAAAGGCTTAGCTCCAAGCAGAGTCCTGTTGTGAGCTGTTGGAAGACAGGATTTCAGCGTAGCATTTGGAAGCCTACATGATTCAGTCTGTGACAGTATCTAGAACAACATTTCATCACATAATAAACTTAGAAAGTTCTCCGTGAAGTATTTTACATTTTTATTACAATCCCCCAAATGTCAAGCATATTATACATGGAGCATATATAAACTCAGTAAGTTTTTCATTAAAAAAAAGTTTTGTATTTAGAATTCATATGAATTACAGTTGAAAAATACGTGTGTACAATTAAATTGTTCTGAGTGTGCTTAGAGTTTTTCAGTAGTGCATTCAAATATCCATTTTTAAGTCTAGATTAATGACAATTAAACAAATGTAAAAATCAGTATCCCGTCACGCGAGGCACGTTTCAAGGGCTCAGAGGCCGAGTGCGGCTTCCTAGTGGCGATTCTGTTGGACTGAGCAGATGTAGAGCTTCGTCCCTTAGAATTACAGGCTGAATGGTGCTTTCCACGGAAAGAATATTTTCCTCCAGTTTTGAAGTTCAAATACATACTGAGTTCTTGTTCCATCCAAGATAGGAGGCGTGAAGCTGCAGAGATTTGTGCCTGTGGGTGTGGAAGGGGCTGCTTCTGAAACCACTTCTCCCCAGGGCACTTGTTCGTACAGCGAAGTCCCCTTCACTTCCCTGTGAAGTGGTAGTTGTTCAGATATCCCTGAACTACTGCTGTATTCATAAATCACACACATTTCAGATGCATACTGTACCACAGCTTCATTTATTATCTGCAAAATCCACTTCTTATTTCTGAACTAATTGAGCAATGATTTATACCTGGTAGGACAAAGAATCATCACATAAATTTTTCTAATGGTTGTGACCTTTTTCTCAAAGCTCAGAGCAACTGCTTATGTCTAGGTGATTGATTTCATTCACATAGATTTTTGGGTTTCGCCTGTATTAAAAAGGAAGTTCATATCCCTGTTCTGAACTATAATGCTCTTCTGGGTAGCTGTCTATCCCCTGTGAATTAGAGGTATATAATAGTCATCTATTTTTAAAGAATTCTTTTCATTATTTTCCTCTCCCCCTCCCCCTCTCCTGTCTCTCCTCTTCCTTCCCCACCTCTCCTCTCTCTCTCTGTCAAGGTCAAAAGCTCTCTGGATGCTGGGAGACCCACTGTGGCTTCCCCTTAATTTCTCCTACTTTCTTTAATTTTTGTATTCTCTCTTCTCCACCTTCTGCTTCCTTCCTTCCTTCTTCTCCCCTCTCCCCTCAGGTTTTTCCGTACAGCTCCAGCAGGCTCAGACTGCAGGCCACATGCAGAGGAGAAAAAGTTCAGATTTTTGCTCTGTTCACCGGCCTCAGTCATTTGAATGCGTCCGGTTCTTGTCCCATCTTTCTTTCCAGGTGGCTGTGTGCGCGCTGGGCTCCTGACCTGGGCTCCTGACTGTTTCTCTCCCCTCTGCTCTTCCTGTCTGCGCTGCCGCAGCTCCTTCCCTTGTCCCCACACCAGCGTTTTTTATGACAAATTCTAGAAGGAGGCTCATTTCCCCACACTCATTCAGCTTAGCTGGCTGCAGACAGAATGATTTCTGTATTTCGTGTTTTACTTGATCTCCGACCCCAGACTTTGACCCCAAATGGCCAGCTGACATGAGAACTAGAAAGCGCTAAGTATGTACCTTGTGATCTCTGAGGTTTGCTTTTTCCCATTCTTGACTGGCGACATTGTCCCACTTATAAACAACTGGCCATGGTCTGTTTTGTCCCCAGCAATAGGAGCAAGTTGGGTGAGTCCATACAAGTCAGTGCCCGCGTGCATCTGTGTGTGCACACGTATACAGGTACACACTGTGTCTACAACTTGGTTGCTACTTTTTTCATGTGGAAAACCATAAACTGTCTTTTCTAGGCTCATATTCTGCTTGACTGTGGTGAAGACAATATCTGTAAACCCAAGCTGGAGGTGTCTGTAGATAGGTAAGCTTGACTCCACAGACAGTAATGTCATAGAAAATTTAAATGGAGCGGCACCTTTTACCATCCTAAGGATTACTATTTTTATGAGAATTAGAATAAAATGTGTGATTTTTATAAGAACAAAACTACTGGCCATGATATATATTAGGAAGCTTATTGTAAAAATTATGACAAGTAATTCGGCTTTTAGAAAAATAATCAGGGAATTAAATGGTGCAGAGAGATACAAAATTACTACCGTGATATGAATGACGGTGACTAATTAGTGGCCGTGGTGTTTTCTTTTGTGGCGAAAGAAATTAGATTTGCACCCAGCATGCCATTTTCTTTCTTTTATCAAGCCATGGAGGGTCTTTAAAACACCCCAACCCTGCCGCGAAGGGCCTGCTGTCTGTGCATTTGTCTCTTGTCCCTTTGAACTGCCCTGTGCTCCCCAGGTGGCTTCCCCTCACTGTCTGGGTTTGTCTTAACTTCCAGTGATCAAAGGAAGATCTACATTGGGGACGACAACCCTCTGACCCTGATCGTGAAGGCTCAGAACCAAGGAGAGGGCGCCTATGAGGCCGAGCTCATCGTGTCGATGCCCCCGCAGGCCGATTTCATCGGTGTGGTCCGCAACAGCGAGGTGAACAGGCTGCCTGGGCAGAACCCCAAGTGCAGACAGCTCTTCCTCACCCTACGAGCTGCGTCTCTGCACTGAAGCCCAAGTGTAGCCGTTGTGCGGCCACCGAATCAGCCCACAGCAGAGAGCCTGCCTTCCGTAATGCCTGTCAAGCCCAGTGCATCAACACTGCCTTGTTCAAATAGCTAGCAAAGAGCCCCAAATGAGGTCAGATAGATAGCGGGGCTTGTTAGCCACGCTGGCTCAGGGCCGCTTGCACCCAGGGCTGTGGCAGCCGCCTGCAGCTCTCGCTTCCCTCTTACGCTATTTTAGCTCCAATACATTTATTTGCTGCTTGAAGAAATGTAAATATGTAATTGCTATACGTGCTGCAGGGACTTCTATGTTATGTAAAAGTAGTCATTTCTGCTCTTTTGGCTGCTAATTTTTGTATCCTGTTTCTTTGCCCCTCAAAGGCTTTAGCAAGACTCTCCTGTGCATTTAAGATGGAAAACCAAACCCGGCAGGTGGTGTGTGACCTAGGAAACCCCATGAAGGCTGGCACGCAAGTAAGGCATTTCCAGAGAGCGGAGCCCCTGCCCTGCCCATGAGTAGAATATAGTATTTTTCCTCTGGGTTTGTACATAGTTATTTTATTTTATTTTATTTTATTTTATTTTATTTTATTTATTTTTGACGCTTGCCAGGAAAGTGTTTATTCCACTGAGCCATCTCCCCAGCCCCTGTTCATAGTTATTTTAAGAAAGTACTTCAAAATAGTGTCTTTAAATTTGTTTTTATTTAGAATTTAATGCTTAGCAGCATTCTGTTAGTTTTAACATTCTGTTTAGTTCTAACGCTAAAATAGTAGGTTGTTTTATTGTACTCTATGCAATAAATAGCTCGGGTCAATGGATAGGAATATGTTTTAAGAACTGAAAGAATAGCTTTGCTGTTTTAAACCAATGCTTTAGCTGTGCGCCTCTAATCCAAGCTCGTGGGGAGGCTGAGGCAAGAGGGTCCGCAGTTTGGGACCAACCTGGGCAATATGAGGAAACCTCCTTGTAAAAAAAAAAAGAAAAAGTTAAATTGATGCTTTCATGGGTCATCAGAAGCCGCGCTGGCAAACACCAGCGTGTTATTCTTGGTGAGATAGAACAGGGTTTTGTTTTAACTCGAAACCGTCCAGTACACATCCCACACAGAAGACCAGAGAGAAAGCTGGATCAGGCTCCAGGGTGATGGTGGGGCGGGGAACCCAGGAGTGGGAAGAGAAGCACCCAACAGTCTCTTCTCAAATCCTTTGCAAAGGAAACAAAATACAGGTTGTCTGGCATCTGGGAACAAAAGGTGGTATACATTGTGTTGATTTTTATCTTCAAAATTGCTTTGTGTGGTGCTGGACTGATACCACAGTGTGGGGATCGGTGTCCCAGCTGATACCACAGTGTGGGGATCGGTGTCCCAGTCTGGCGCCCACATTGCTTTAAAGCCACGTCTTGGGAGTGCTTTCTGTGGCCTCAGCTGTCTCTTGCCCGGGGCTTCCGCACAGAGGCCTGCTTCTCCAGGCAGCCAGCAGCAGGCTGGCTGTGTGAGGCTGGAGATGGTGCCTGAGGCTGCGTGTTTGTGATCCCAGCACTCGGGGCTGAGGAGGGAGGATCACCACGAGTTCAAGGCCAGCCTGGGCTGCAGAGTGAGTTCAAGGCCAGCCTGGGCTGCAGAGTGAGTTCAAGGCCAGCCTGGGCTGCAGAGTGAGTTCAAGGCCAGCCAGAACTACGTCGTAGAGTGACACCCTGTCTTTAAAAACCATACCAAAAAATAAGATGTAATTATCCTTTTTAGCTTTTATTATAAATGAGGAGAAACTGTCTTATATGATTTTTTAAAATTTGGTCACTTGTTTGGAAACGTGCAATTTCTACTTCCAAGTTAATTACACCACTGTCTTTTTCTCTCCTTCAGCTCTTAGCTGGTCTTCGTTTCAGCGTACACCAGCAATCAGAAATGGACACTTCTGTGAAATTCGATTTACAGATCCAAAGGTGTGAAAACAACTTGTGTTAGCTTATATAGCTATTGATAAAATGTTGTAAATATATTGCGTAGTATACTTTAGATATTATGGAATAAGAGTGAGGCTTTAGTACTTGATAGAATTTGTGAAAATCAGTATTTATTTTATAAGACATGGTCAACTTTGAGTTTATAAAGCAAAACTAAAAATTAGGATATAGAAGTCAGTCATCTTGGGGTCAAATGCTCATGAAAAGAATTGTTTTGACTTATAAACATGTCTTTGTTACTTTGAATTCGCTCATTTTTAGTTTTGCTGTTTTGCTGGGTTTTCTGTGTATGATTTTGATGAGGACGGTGCTGAATCCAGGTGTACATACGTTTTCATTTTCCTTTGCAGCTCTAACCTTTTTGACAGAGTGAGCCCCGTTGTGTCCTACAGAGTTGACCTTGCTGTGCTCACCGCTGTGGAGATACGAGGGTCAGTGTGATCATGAGGTTGGGGACTTTGAAAGGTTACAGAGGCCCTGGCCTCCTTGGGACTGTGGGCACTCCGTGGCGATTCTCCTGAGGCAGGAGGTCCCGGAGAAATAAACTGCTTGATGTGTTTCAAGGCTCCGCACGGTCACTCGGTGACCTTCTAAGAGGGAACAAGCATGACAACAAAAGTCACGAGATAAGTTTCCTGGACTTGCACACATGGACTTAGCCATCCACCAGTCACGTGTCGATGAGATGATAGCAGCTTTTGTATGTACGGTCATTCACTAGTTTTCTTGGAAAGGACCTGATCGTACGCCTGTGAACTCAGGATTCTTTTGAAAATGAACTGATTCTACTGATTCTATCATTTCGATATTATTCATGGTAGGTTTTCTTTATTCATTGTCTAGAGTCTCGAGTCCCGATCACATCTTCCTTCCCATTCCAAATTGGGAGCACAAGGAGAAGCCTGAGACCGAAGAAGACATCGGGCCTGTCGTGCAGCACATCTATGAGGTCTGCATCTCCTGGGGTTGGGGGCTTACATGGTCACCAGTGCAGGGCACAGTGAGCTGCTCCCATGAGAGAACTCTGTCATTTATTTATGCAAACTCTGTGTCACTCAAGTATGCAGCGTGGATGTCTTTGGAGTTTTCCCTATTTACAGATTCATTTTTATTAGACCAGTAGCTTTGTGTTTAACAAAAGCAAAGGATATAATTTGTTATGTAAAATCAGCGAGTTCTACTTGAACAAAAGAAAGAGGTGACTGCAAATTTTCCTTATAGGCATTTTGTTGTGTCTGAAATTGAAAATGTCTATGGTAGATGATCAAAATTTTATTTCTACAAGAATAATTTATTTATTTTTTTTTTGTATTTTAGGGGAGGGTCTACAAGGTGTTCAGGGTCTCACTACTAGACCGCCTGTTTACAGCCTCCCAAGAGCTGGGATTATAGGTGTGTGCCACCATGCCCAGTCTCAATATCTCAGCATACCCCGTGTGTAGGAATGGCATGGCAGGCCCGGGGATTGAATCCCTGGCTCCTACACCTGCTTGCAGGCACTATAATCTGCTGAGCTATTTGGCAGGCCCTAAACTTTTTCCTTTTCTTTGGTGCACTACCAGGACTTGAACTCAGGACCCTACACTTACCAGGCAGAAGCTTATTCTACTGAGCTATCTCGCCAGTCCTGAATTTTTTTTTTTTTAATGTATGTAGTACAGGGTCTACGGGGTCTCACTACACAGATCAGACTTGTAGTGATCCTCCTGTTTTCAGCCTCCCAGTGCTGGGATTACAGGTGTGTGCCACCATGCCTAGTCTCTGTCACTGTCTCAGCGCGCCCCGGGGTTGGGACTGCCACTGCACGTGGAGGATCAAACCCCGTTCCCTGCATCTGCCTGAGCAGGAGCTTTAGTCCGCTGAGCTATCTGGCTGGCCCTAAGAAAATTTTTCTTAAATTATTCATCAATAACTCTTTAAAATTTCACTGTTAATGTTTTCTTCATCCTCATATCTAATCAAGTCAAAAATACTGAGCTTGGTCTTTTTACATGAGGCTCTTGTTCTTCAGGTCCTACTGTGTGTGTTTTTTAAGCTGGTGACGGAAAAGGGCCCTCGGCTAGGTTTTTGCCCAGGGTGTTTACATTGTCCTTTCCTCCTTAGCTGAGAAACAATGGCCCGAGTTCGTTCAGCAAGGCCATGCTGAGTCTGCAGTGGCCCTACAAGTATAACAACAACACCTTGCTGTACATCCTTCACTATGACATCGATGGGCCGATGAACTGCACTTCGGACATGGAGATCAACCCTTTGAGAATCAAGGTAATCGCTAAATAGCACTTCTTCATTAGGATGTTGTTTTATTGCTGTCTTTCTAGAGCTATAAATGAACTCAATTATTTTAATGCACAGATTCCATATAAAAAAATTGTAGATTATCACCAGTACGCTAAGAATTAGGTTGCTGCATGATGG